TACACGACACGGTGAAATCTACTTTACGAAGGAAGGACGGCTATACACTTTCCTGAAATTCTTTTACGATAGAGCCAGTGTAGAATCAAGCATTCAAGGAACCTTGACTGTTCCTTGTCTGCCTTCGGAAGACATAGATGAAAGCAGTTATTTCACCACAAGTTCACTGTCAGATGTTACCCCAAGAAGTGCGCTGGCCTCTCAGCACAGATCAGAGGGTTAAGCTATTGTTGAAAACAGTCCACGGCTGTGAGAAAGGATGTCCACCCCACATTGCTATACGCTTTGTTTCAATTTTATTTTGTGGGGAAAAAAAAAAACCCAGAAACAGAAAGGACTGCATTTCCTTAAATAACAAACTATACAAATAAAAAGGGGCAGAAGCGGTAAGCAATGTTTTTGATGAGAACTGAAGGATTCAATAAATAATATAAAATGCTTTTAATATATATATATATATATATGTAGTTTGGCAATCTTTATGCTACCCAGAAAAAAGCCAAATCTATTACAATTTGTTAAAACATAGAAAAATACAATTTAACAATAGAACTAAAAAAAAAAAAGAAGGCCAGTGCTTAGCTTATAAACCACATAGAATATGTACATCATGGAATATAATCAACTAAGAAACAAGAAGTTGAATTTCAAGTCCTTTGGAATATGAATACACAATTAGAAATATTTCTCCATTCTCTACCCCTTACATGAGAGACATTTTATATTAGGACAAAATTAAAATTGGAAGCATAGTTACCAGTTTTTCAGAGATGATTCTGAGATTCGTTAGGTATAAGAGAGTTTACTATAAGAACGTGAGTCGTTTAACTCTAAAATGCAGGTTTCTCCTATACGGTTTTGATGGAATGATATGTTAGTCCATTTTCTGTAGTGTATGCGTGTTTTTTTTAAATAAAGGCAATTTAAAAGTTGGGTGCTACATTTATCAGTAAGTGCTAACCCAGCCAGGCCAGTGAAGCGGCCAGTCACTCATGCCCCCAGGCCTTTGGACGCTGCCAGAGCTGGGCATCCCTGTTACTTGGCTGTCAAAGAACAGCTCTCTTAGTCTTTGAGGATGAAGAAAATCTAAAGGCCATTATTGACTCGAGGAAGCCAAGAAGTATCATTTTAGACTTCAACTTTCATTCTTCCTACAGTAAATTTTTTAAAATGTGGCCTGGATACAAAAAATTCATATTAACATGAATTTAAGTGATTAATTAATTAAAGCTTCTCAAGTGAACCTGATGTGGGAGGGAGAATCATGTTAGAGTTTTAGGAAGAAAAAATGTTTTGAAGAGTAAAGCTCACACTGCTTGGCTCAAGCAGCAAAGCCCAGTCTTGTTACTGCAGGGGAATGACGGTACCTTCAGTGCGTGTGCAGCAGTGTCCCCACCTGACTGACAGGGTGACAGCAGCCCACACCCCACCTCTGGCCTTCTCCCCCTCCCCTGATTGGCTGCAAGGCACACACACCAAGATGGGGCATCAGCTCTGGGTCCCCTGTGCCTTCCCCAACGGTGCTGGATGACAAGCAGGGGCAACCGGCAACATCATTTCTACAGAAAGTCCTGGTGGAAAGCAAACAGCCTCTTACAAGTCCAGCAGCTCCACATTCAAAACTAAAGCGACCGAGTCTTAAAATAGTTACTATTCAACTCTTCTTGTTAAAAGGGGAAAACCACCCCAAAGCACCAAGTTCAACTGGAATTTCCCTGGTGCTTTACGGTGTAAGGAGATTGGCTTTTCCCAGTGAATTAACTCCTTTTTTCCTTTGCCCCATCTCTACCAGGATCCTGCCTTCTGTGACAACCACTCCATCCACCTCCCAGCATTTGTCACAGATCCCAATGAAGCCCAACTCCTCTCCGGGTACAAACAGCTCATCCATCCCCTGGGAGGGGAGGAGTTCCTTCCCCAAGCATCTCTGAACGACACAGATATGAGTCCCTGAATGAAACTGAGAAAAATTACATATAAATTAAATCATACAAGATAAGCCTTATCTTACACCAGCACGCTGCAAAGTTTTTAACATATTTACATCAAGCAAAAAAAGTCCAACTTTGAGAATTTTCTTTTCTTCTTGATAGGTTAACATTTTGAAACATCAGAAAAATCAATTCCACTGAAAAGTCAAATGTTGTATTCGATTGGCCCAACTATAAATTCTGAATGAAATAAAAAAATCATCAGAAAAAAACACACTTTGATCTGCTTGAGAGTTAAACCACATTGTCAATTGGTCAATGATATTTTTTAACGGCCAGTGTGAGCCTTCAAACAATTGTTTTTAGTATATGTACAGCATATTTCAAAGCGCACATCATAGCTAACTCTTGCTTTGAACAGATGGTTGTTTGTGGTCACCACTCTGTCTGTTTGCTTTTCCAGCTTTGTTGCTGTCTTTCTTGAGCAGAACGCTTCCTTTCTTCAGCGAGCCTGGACATTTGCCCCTTCGCTTTACATATAGAATTTGAAATTGTCATGTCCGTGAATTGACCAATCAGAGGCACAGGAAGTGAAACATTCACATTAGTAGTGAAACAACAGCTGATTTCTAGCAGTTTTGCTGAAAAATTGTACTTAAACATGATAGAGAAGGAAAAACCATGAGCCCCCATGACATAAGGGAATAAATGCACCAAAGAGAATGTTTTAGGTTAAAAAAAAACCCTCGGATTCCCAAAAGTTTTTAATTCATTCCATATATGGTATAGAGCAGCTTAACCTATTATTTTTAGGCTTTGCTTTAATGATTCCTTTGAATCATGAAACCAAGACACTACTAACATAATTTTACAAGAATATCAACTTCAGTGATTTTTTCTGACAATGTGAAAATATCCCAACCAAATAAATCTAAAATAATGATAACACTTGTGCTCAATTTTGCCCTTTTTAACACTCCAAATGTAGGTAAGGTCAAACATTAAGACCTAAAATAGCCACGTATACCAAGACTTCTAAACCAACCGAATTCTTTGGCCACGGGAGCACCAGGTGCTGGCACAGAAGGGTTCCGGAAGCGCCTTCCATCTGGCAGCAGAAACACCCCCTCAGAAGGGCTGCAGGCACGAGTTCAGGAGGAAGACTGGCCTCTCCAGGGCTGCCAAACCCCAAACACAAACAGGGACCTCCCCCTAAAAAGCCACTCATCCTAAGCTCACAGAGCACTTTTAATAAATCACATCCACGTAATGCACGTCACAGCCCTGTCGTTACCCATCAAACTTGAGGGAGTGTAAAAGTTCACTTGGAATAAATTTGAGGCGAGGCCAAAGGGCTCTCGGAATATTTCCAATTCATTTTTCTTCTGCAAAGGAAAGACAACCTTATGTTCTACTTCAGAGGTTAAATGATATTTTTCAGAGATGCGAATCGGCGTAGCTGGTGCCCTGGGTATGGAGCGTGAGACGCTAGGCCCGGACCCTCGAGGAGTTCATGCACCTTCTCCACGTGAAGCTACATCTCTACCCTGTCCAGCGGAGGCAGGAGGCTCAGCGATTTCTAAACTGTAATTACCCATCTCTGAATCACAGGTGCTGGGCACACGTGACCTTGCGATGGAGCCAGTAACTAACTACAGTGGTGACAGTGACATCAACCACGCCTGGGGAGATGCTCACTTGCCATCAACAGCTTTTCTATCTCTGGCGGGTTTTTTTTTACTTTTTTTTTTTTAAAACACAATTTGAATACTATTCTTCCCTTTTAAATCAGGGGAATCCATGTAAATAGTAGCCCCCAACTTCTATACTGGAAACAGCAGATAGGAGAACATGTATGCTAAATTCCAACTAGTAGTTGAGATAAATAGTGAACCTCAAAGTTTCTCTTCCAAGGTAACTCCTATGAAACAAAAGGCTCTTTCGGTAATTATCTTCCAAACTCTCAAGATATGGTTTCATTAAAAAGGACTTACTTTCCCAGTGAGTGCGGCACACAAATATAAACACAAAGATTTGGAACCACTAAAAATATTGAGGACAGGATGCAGATAATTACGATGTCAAGTTATTTAAATTGTTAGCAGTCGACTCAGACAATAAAATTGCACTAAGAAAAGACAAATATGTGGACTCTGAAAATTATTATTATTTTTAGTCTGATGACACGGAGGACTTGGCTGGGAAACACACTGGTTCTTATAAACCAGCACTTATTTGGGACATGAAACGAACCACGGGGAGAGGAGGCCACTGGGATCAGGCCGTCGCTGTCACAGAACAACCCGCCAGGGCAGAGAATTATTCGCTACTGACAGTTGAACAACAATGCAAGTCAATATACACAGTTAACCCATTTTGACACATTCATCTTCAGCATTCTTTTTTCAATAAAATTCGTTTTTAAATTATACTAAAAGGTAAAACAGAGTTTCCTTCCTTGACACATCCGTTACCCAGATGCTTCCTGAGGTCAGCCAGAGGGAACCAGAGTTGCTGTGTCTCACGACCGCTTCCAGTCCAAGCCCAAGATGGGCGCCCGTAGGCGGTCCTGTGCACCCAGGGGAAGTGCACCGACTTGATGGTTTGAAAATGACTGTGTCACCGTGAGATGCAAACACCACTGCCTCTCCTGCAGAGCCACCATGAGCCTCCAACCATCTATGCCTTCGATGTTGAGTGGCTCCCACGCCCTTGGTCCCAGCTGCCTAAGCTCCCGGTCAGAGGCAGGCTGGTACCCGTGGGTGTGGCACCCACAGGGAGAGCCCAGGTGCAGCCCTTTCAGAAAACCTCTGCAGCTTTCAAGCCCCGAGACAACGAGAGGCTGGTTCTCAAGGGCACAGAGGACACCCAGCTGGTCTGCCATCCTGCCAGGACTATGGAGCAAAGACATCTAAACCCAGCCTGGGCTGATTATGGACAGAGCGTGGCAACGCTGGGGCGACCTGAACGGCAGTCTGTTCGATCCCATCTTGGCAAGCCTGAGATACATTTGATATCGGATGCAAAAAGTGACACAATCAGTAGGAATCATTTCAAGTTCTAGGTTCATCTATAACCAAAAGAACTGTGTGGCAAAGAAAGAGAACTTCGTTTCTTCAGTAGTTTCGAGGGCAGATGGATGCGATCGTGGCGGGAGACCCTCAGGAGGGGAGGAGGCACCCCCAAGCCTGAGGGTGGTCGCCACTCCTAGTAGGAGCATCTCAGAGTCCTGGGCCCCCCCAGCCATGGAGCACCCCGGAGGTGAGCGACTCCATCTCTCATCCTCACACTTCTCCCAAAGGCTCCACTTCGCGGGTCGAGCAGCCCACATGGACTTCCCGGAGGAGGTGCCGTCTCGTGGGACCCTCCCTGTGCCAGGGGTCAGAGGCCATTGCTGTTCCTGTGGCAGAGGGGCGGCTTCGAGAGCTCCACAACGGCCGAGCGGGATTTGTTGAGGAACTTGGGGGCTCGACGTAACAGCCGCTGGGCCTCGGTGAACGTCTCCGTCAGCTCTTTCTTCCACTGCAAAAACTCTGGGTCACTCTGAAGGCAAACAGAAGAGGCGGAGGAGTTGGGATAGTGTCACTGGCTTCGCCGACACACATGGATACCTCTGGCCAGTCCTTGGAACCCCCTTCCCCCCAGAGAAAGCACACCCCATGTCCCACCCCGCGGCCGGTGAGTAACGGGGGGTGGGTCACGCAGGAACTTCCTCCAGGGGCCCCTTGCCCAGAAGAGGGACCAAGCCCTTCAGAAGAGCCTCCTACAACCCACAGAAGTGCTGCCTTGACTTTGTTGAAAGATCACCTTTGATCTCTGATGTCTAAAATAACTCGAGTCTAGAAAATAATATACCAGGAGTTCTGTCAAATTTCAGAAGCACCTTCACATGTGCAATGACGTCATGAAGTAATTAATCATGTTGTTCCATCAACTACTACTTTATCTCTAAATATGCTCTTTACAAGCACGTACACACACGCGCACGCGCGCGCGCACACACACACGCACGCACACACACACAGTAGAAAAGTGTTGAAGTCGTGAAGCAAACACGTCTTTGTATCTACTACTGCTTTATCCCTCTAAATACGCTCTTTTCTCACCCCCCACCAAACATCCCCCCACACCCCAGGAGAAGTGTTCAGGAATTAAGTTCGGGGTACAATAGAACTTTGGGGAGAGAAAGATGGCATTTCCCCTGTTAAGAGTTACTTGGGGATCTTATGTTTATTTCAACACACAAACCTCAACTTCAAACATGCTGAAAGATCAGATCAGATGTGGAAAATTGTGGAACAAATACAATTCAAGGCTCCCATTAAATACTGGATGGTTTCCAGATAGGGTAATCACGTTATTTCCTGTCCTTCCTCCTGCCATTTTCTAAGAAACACTTCTTTTAAAATAACTGTTAATTTGCTGAGATCCTTGTATCTTCCAACTTTCTTGCTAAGTTCGTGAGTGATAAAGCATGGAGTAAGAAAATGGTTGATAACCAGGCAGGCACCTTTGTTGAATGTTTATATAATTGTTCTAACTTTCACCTCTGGAAAAAATACAAATAAACACTCACCTCACACTGCAAGACAAATTGCTTCCCTCCTTTTATCCTCAGCAAAATGCACTTTTTGTCTTTAATCTGAGTTTCTTCCACAGACACAATCTGTTCCATTGTCAGTAAATTTTGCTGACCGTAAAAATAAAAGATGATAAGTTACTTTACATTATTGCATGACTTTTAAAATTAAGTTAATAAATAATACTGAAAACTACCAACTTAGAAAAAGTAAAGAAAAAAAATCAGCATCTTTCTTTCTTTGATGATATTCTAGAAGTGGGGGGAAATGACTACAAAAGAAATGTACGAAAATTCAAAATATAACATCTCAAAGAAAGCTGCAAAGAAAGGAACGTCTCTATAAGGCAGAAAGCAAAGCTGTTCCCTCAGCACAGTACTAACATGGGGATGAGTGTGAATCACACGTACCTCTCCTGCATCACACACTTGCCTAGACACGATCAATCCTGCTATGAGGGAACAATGACGCCGCTACCTACGATCTACATGAGCGAGAGGTGTGTCGCTGGCTTTGAACCCAGCAGCCCAGTAAAAGTTCAGTCACGCTAGCTTGTAAGCGACTGATATTTTGATCACGTCGAAATGATGTTATAAACACAGGTGACGTCCTTAAACGACTGTCCCGCTGGGTCTACAGCATCACTGCTTCCGGTGAATGCTACAGTGCCTCTGAGCACCTTACCATTTTATGTTTTTTGGGATAAATACTCCAGGAATCCTAAATGAAAACCACCACCATCATAAAACCACGTTTTCTTTTTCCCTTACTTAAACTTACGAATCTACCCAGGCACATTACGTAGCTTCGTGAATCAACGCTAAATGCTGACTATTTTAAAACCAAGATAATTTATCATATCCAATGGTAAGCAAAAGAAGATTTTTGTTTTAGTTTTCGAATATCCTGAAAAGCGAAACAATTTCCTTTCAAAGTGTACAACAGTGACTGCCGAGTAGATAGCATAGTAAACGCATACTATGCCCAGGGCCACTCATTATCTGGAAATAAACTTTATATAATGATATACGTATGAATTATAACTCAGGTGCTAGTAAGTATACTATAAGGTAAAAAATACATATGTAATATTATACAAAATATAATTATCTTGTATTTATGTATCACCATGTATCATCATGTTCTATGTAACATGTATATTTTATAGTATACAATACTTACCAGTACCTGAGTTATAATTCAGGACCCCCATAGAGTCTTATTAATCATAACTCAGATCCCAGATGTATGAATTTTTAGAAAATGACTTCTACGGCACTAGCAATAGTGAGAAGATCATGGTCATTCATGAAGAATGTGGTCATACACAGTAGCAATCACTTGTAATTAAATGGCGTCTTCACCAACAAGGATTTGCAAAACACATTCCCAAGTCAAACACACCAGATCTGGGCTCACCATTTTCCATGCTCCGGCCAGCAGAGAGCTATATTCTGATACAGGGGCCATATTCCAATACACCAACTATGTTTTTCACAGTTGGGACCACTGTCCTGCTTATGATGACAAACCATTCCCTCCCCAAGAGCAGAACTCCTTCCACATGGGTTGCCACCTTCCATGGAGACAAGCCCTGGGCGCTCCACACAGCAGACGCTTAATAAATGCTGCCCCACTTGCTACGAGGGACGGTGTAGATGGGAAATTTCTCTTTTCTTGTTCACTAACATTAGCTCTCGAAAGGACCTTACAGGGTGGCTGTATCTTCCCATCTAATGCGATAAAACCCACTTCCGATTTTCCAGCAAGGTGGAGACAACAGGAGGGGGGTCAGGTGCCCTGGCCTGGGTGCCAAGCTTCTCAGCCTGCACCGCAGACCTCGTCTTACTCAACCCCGACTCAGGGAGGCCTCGTAACGGAGACACGGGGCACAGGCAGACCCCGGTCGGAATCACTCCTCACCCACACCTGTCACTGGTACCAGACCTTCCCTCTCTAAGCCCTGGTTCTCTCTTAATAAGGCTTGGACCTCAAAGGTTGCTAAACAAATTAAAAGTGTGTGTGTGCATGTCTGTGTGTGTGTTTGTGTCTGTGTGTCTACAGCACGAGGCCCAAGATAAATCTGCAACAATTGTAGTAGTCGTTACCATTTCTTCTTCTCCCATTTTATAGATGAGGAAACTGAGGCTCAGTCGACATAATGTGCTCCAAGTCCCAGAGACACAGAGCAGTGGATTTAAACACCTCTGACTCCAAAGTCCCAGTTTTTTCCCCTTTTTTGATCCACCTAACCGCTCACCAGCCCTCCTCAAACCTGTCTGCTTTGACCTCCCTGGAAGGCACCTTCTATTTTCAGGGAGCACCAAATCCTTCCTTGACTCAGAAGTTTAAAAGTTAATGTCTGAACATGAAAATCTCATGTATACATGTTAAAAGAGATACAGGACCTAGAGGGAGATTTGAGAAAACACACTGGCGATGTGAAATCACCACGGAAACGAGTGCTCGGGAAGATGCCACAGACTTACTCGTGACTCGCCCTCTCCTCTCCATTCAAGTCTGTTTGGAAAGAGGTAAAAATATCGACGCTGCCACTGAGTCAGGAATGGGTTTCCCAGCTTCAGCATGTACCCGTGCATGATGCAGTCTCTTCCCAGAGCGTAATCTGAGGCACGGAACACAACGATGAAATTTAGCAGGGTCTGAACCAGAATGTCTATATGCTTCTCAGAAAAAAAGAATGACACACTTTTTAGAAAAAGAGCAAGTTTCTATAAAGACAGCACACTATAGAAATCATTATTTTAGTTTTAAACACATTAAAGAACAGGTCTCTTCAGCTCTCTACTAACATATTAAATGGCTGTTTCTCAATATTCTGATAAATTCATGATGTTCCTCTATTGCTCTGAGAGGGTCAAGGTTTGTTTGCTAAATATATTTTCATTATGTAGGGTGATAACTGGGGAATAGAGAGTGATTAAACTCAAGCTATGCCCAAAGTACCTTTGCCTTTATATGGAATTGGGCTTCTCCCTTTAATGTTATTTAAAAAAAAATAAGAGAGGGGATTTTCTTGTCCAAAGAAGCCAAAGTAACACAAGGGTCAAAAACTGGTCTTTTCTCCACTTAAGGTTATAATTATCCTTCATATATACGGTTATGTAGGGAGGCCAAGCTAACTCACATGAGTGTTGGGTTCTCATTACAGTTTTACAGCAAAGTATTGTCTCCAAAAAAAAAAAAAGGTCAATTTTAAGTGGCTTACTTTGCCTTCCATAGAGGATTTGGTGATTGTGCTAAAACCATTCACTCATTCACGCACTCATTCATTCAACTATGAAGGGAATGAATGCCTAGGTGCTGGGCATGTGCTAGGCATTCTGGACACAGCAGTGGATAAAAGAGACAAAAGTCCTCGCCTTGTGGGAGCTTACATTCTAGTGGGAGATTCAGGTAATAAACAAATAAGCAAAACCCATGTTGTGTCACTTGGACACAAGCAGGAAGGAGAAGAATGAAGGAGGGAGGGGCCTCGGGAGGGTCCGCGGTGATGGGGTGTGGTTCACGGAGTTGCCCTTTTAATGGAAAAGGTGTCTGCATTTGTCAAGTACATTTAAAGTATACGTCTTATAATTTTACTTCTTCTGAGATCTTCAACCAAGATCTAGTTATTCCTAAATTACTTAATTACATGTGAGAATAATTCATTAATTTGCTAGACGTTCTAATTACAGCTCTAATTAAAAGCCTACACTTCAACAAGGTCATTAACATACATATTTTTTTCTGGGTCCAATTTGTCAAGATTCTAGTGACATCGTGGCTCTCCCTTGAGCAAACTACCGAGGCTAAAATTTCCTGTGTAAAATCCGTAACAGCAAACGTGGTCCAGAGTGATCTCAGTGGACCCATTCTCTCAAGAACGGCTTAGAAATGAAGCCCCTTTCCCTGCAGAATGGAGGTGAACACAGTTAAAGGGCTGTCACGTTCCCTTGGTGCACTCAGGTGACTTTTAGGTAAGGAGTCATTCATCCAGTATGGTGGACACTTTTCTAAACAGATGATAAATGCTACTGGGGAATGGTCGACAAGACCCAGGAATCCTGCACCAAGATACCCCCACCAAAGCAAATTGTTCACAGACTGAAATTGTTTCCGGTCATTCTTATTATACGTTAACCTTAGAAAGGTCTTTGCTTAGAAGTAAAACAAAAAGCTATCTTCATCACTAACCACAATAAGTTTAAATATCCAAAATCCATAAAGTCTTAGAAAAATCAAGAGTGGCAATATTTGGTGAATCAAAGATGACTGATTTATTTAATACTGGATGTTATGTATTCTCCTTTGGAAATCCTAATAGGGCACTCAAATATGGTAAATAAAAATATGGCTTGGTGGCTCTTTTTCTTTTTTGGGGGGGGAGGGATACTTGCTATATGGTAATGCAGGGTTTTACTTATTCTGTCCATTAGTAACTACTATTTGATAACATTTTAATTTTATTTTTTTTCCGGTACGCGGGCCTCTCACTGCTGTGGCCTCTCCCGTTGCGGAGCACGGGCTCCGGACGCGCAGGCTCAGCGGCCATGGCTCACGGGCCCAGCCGCTCCACGGCATGTGGGATGTTCCCAGACCAGGGCACGAACCCGTGTCCCCTGCATCGGCAGGCGGACTCTCAACCACTGCGCCACCAGGGAAGTCCCTTGATAACATTTATAATATTAATAGAACTTAATCTAAGAGAAGTTCAACTTTTTTTTTTTTTTTTACATTTCAATACTGGATATTAATCAGAAAGATAGTCAAAATTACTATGGTCGAAATTTTTACATCAAAAATTTGTAATAAGCGTTTGGTATTAGTCTACATACAATTCAGCTTTTGGTGTAAAGTTCTTTGGCTGCAAGAAAGAACATTTGGTTTACTTCACTAATAGGAATATCTCTTAATGCTGGGATGGCTTCTTCTTGGTATTTCTTCTGCTGTTGGTTTTTGGCACAGTTATCTGTGATCGTATGAGTGGAGTTGAGTGGAGAGGTACTCGTCATGTTTATTCCAAATAAGAGCACGTAACCAGTCACTACAGTAATGAGGAGGTACACAAGCCAGTGCAACTAACTGCCCAGTATTTTTGAGGCCAACAGGTTAAGCCTAAGGAGTTTAGCCAAGATTCAGGAATAAAAGCCCACACAAGGTATAGTATGAAGCCAAACTGGGAGCTTAAGAAAAGAATAAAGCCATAAGTCGCTCTTTCTGGCAATGGCGATGGTCAATTTTCCACCACTTTCCCCGTGGCTTTAGATAATCTCGGGTCCTCGACGCGCCCACTCGGCCCCTCCCCACAGTTCGGCCCTGGTGACTCTTTCGTGCTGTTTATAATATAAATGTATGTACATACACTTATGTCTCTTGACAAGTAAACATGTAATACTAAGTTCCTCACCATACTTTGCGGGGCCCTGTGGAAAATGAAAATGCAGGCCGCTTGTTAAAAAATTATTAAGAATGTCAAGATGGTGCCAGCAGAGCATTAACCTGGGTCGGCGGCCTGATGACACCACACAGGCCAGACACCCAGGAAGCTGGCCCTGTTGCTGCCACCGTGATACTTAACCTTTAAGTGAGAAAACTTCCAAACCGGCCCCAAAACTCCAAGATAAGAAGGTGTATTGACAAAATACTGCCGACGGCCTCCATACATATTATCTATATGTGGACTAAAGACTTTGAAATATCAAGTATATATTTATATATACGTATAACTGAATCACTTTGCTGTACACTTGAAACTAACACAACATTGTAAATCAACTCAATTTCAATAAAAACTCTTAAAAAATTAAAGACTTTGAGATATCATTTCACACTGATCTTTTCCAAGCCAGGTAAAACGAAAACAATTTATGGCATTTCCCCCACTCTACCGGAAAGTACTTTATGACCCAGGTACTATTTTCAGCTTTACAAGAGATCTTGAAAATTCATTGCTTTAGAAATATCTTCAGACACACCAGCTATTTTACCTTCTTCGTGGCCAAGCTGCTTATTTTTAGCTCTCTTCCTGGCCTCGATTTTATCCGTGTCTGCATTTACTGCTGCATAAACAGTTTCCGCCACTTCCTGCTGCCAGCGCTCAGAGATCACCAAAGGGAAGTTCTTGTAGGGTTCTTGGTCGCAATCAAGAAGCTTATTATGTTAAGAAATCAAGATATGTATGATTTAACATATGCTTACAAAGGCAACAGATTCAAAAGCACCATAACTGCGTGTAGGAAGATAACTCGTCAACAGCCTACAACCATTAAGAGACAATTTATTACTTGTCATAAACCTCCACCGATGACAATCGAGTGACCAAGGCATGTACTGTACAACACGGGGAAGACAGCCAGTATCTTATAATGACTGTAAATGGAGAATAACCTTTAAAAGTTGTCAATCACTGTATTGTACACCTGTAAGTTATATAATATTGTACATCAACTATACTTCCATAAAATCTTTTAAAAAGAAAAAAAAAAAAGAAAGACAATCCAACAACCGGGATCCACACAGGGTGATATACTATGGGCACTTCACTTCCATCCCTGGGTCGGTCAGATGCAGCCCAATCTTTTACAGCATCTTCACAGCATTTTTGCCAATGAAAACTAACATATATAGGGTTTTCTTTAAAGGATGACAAGAATCTGGCAACAAAATAATTTCGATTATAGTGAGGTTATTTTATTTGTGAAAACAGATCCCTATGGTTTTAGATACAGTTACAAGGGAGGAGCCAGGAGGGCTTTCTAACCACCCTCCCATTATTCTGTAAAGTGAGAAAAAACTAAAAGGTCCACTAGGCCAAATTTACCATTTAGCCCACGAGCCTTCCAATGAATCCAAGTTGAACAGTATGATCATAAGTCTCGAGATACATGGAGACTTTAGGCAATGTGGCCTTTCAGAGGTGCTATAAGAAAAATTACACTTAACGATAGCATTTCTCTTTCAAACTATTACTCAAAATTCTTCATTCTTCTCCCTAAGTGAGCCTGTACTCTGAAAGCAAGCTAAGAAAATGGTTTTACAGATTTGAGTTACAGTTTTGTGGCAGAAAGACAAGCGATCCTACTGATAGGAAAAAATAGCCCCGTCTTTCAAAAGCAGGGATCTCTCTAGAAGCCTGTTCACTCCCTTGCCTGAGAGATAAGTACGGGAGAGAGGCAAGTTATTTAGAAGGAAAAGGGAGAAAGACCAAGGGTGAGGCTCCTGCCCACACGCCTTGAGTGAGTCACTGAACCACTGGAGGAACCTGCAACCTGGTCCCAATCAGGATGCTCTCCACCCACCCTTACTGACTTGTTATCCTAACGTGCCGATTCTGAGATCAAAGTGTGTACAGTTCTCCCCTTTTCAGCTTTCTTCAGACACCCAAACCAAGACTGGCACTGAAACCTTTGTGTGCCCTGAGTGTGAACACGCTCATGCGTGTGTGTGTATGTGTGTGTGCGGTGCAGTGTTAGAGCATTGAGGCCAGGAGAGCACCCTGCGATGAGGGACACTGGGGCAGATTCTGCAGAGTTGGGCAAAAGTGAAAACACCCTCCTTTCCAAAGTAGTTGCTCTGAAATGGACAAGTCTGCTTTATATACAAATGGTTCCATCTCCTGTAAGGTCAGAGAGCCTTGGTCTTTATGACTCGGCCTATGTGAGAAATGAATAAAACAAAGCTCTACATGAAGTGAGCTTTTTTTTTTTTCTCCTTAAAGAACAAATGTATTATTTTGGCTGCATTTTAAGAGACACAGCCTTCTCAGCTCTGGTTCCGGAAGAAGCAAAACCACCACAACAGGAACTCCTAGTGTACATGCCAGGAGGCTGACACAGGTGACCCACCCACAGAGAAGGCCTGGCAATGAAACCACTCACTTCACAGGCAAGAAAACCAATGCTCCTGAGGTTCCCTAAATGGCCCTGATTCCCTTAGGTAATAAGTGCAGATCTGAGGACAGTGTGTCTGACTCCAAAGCCCAGAATACAGCTGACAAAATTGAAGGCATGAGACTCTCTTTTGAACAACAAAATTTTCACAGGCTCCCACGTGATGTTCGTTTTCCTTTTAGTGCCCTTTGCTGGAGAGAAGTATGTCTGATGACAAAATTCTACTGTGACAGCAGTGATCCTTTTAGATAACTCTGTAAAAGGACTATTCCCGAAGCTATAGGGTGGTCCTGTCTGTCCAGGCCACAGAGATGCCGAGCGTCTGCACAGTGGTCACGCTACTGTCCCCAGGGGAGCCACGGCTCAGACCAGGCCCTCTCTGCTGTGTTTCACCTGACCTTCCCCGCCACCCCCCATCCTGCCATCCTGGGAAACTGGCCACGTGAGCACCCCAATCACCTTTACAGCTGCCTGGTAGGAAAGACCAGGGGGGCTGACACAAGGCCATAAACGCAGGCAGCTGAGAAGACACGGGCAGGGGAGCCTCTCAGAGGGAGAGGGGAGACGCTGGGAGAAGCTGACAAAGTGGGGGCAGTGGGAACTTGATATGTAGTGACACGCTCTGACTCGGCATCCAAAAGAGGGTGACTTTCTCCCATGACTCACCACCTCTAATTATGCCCTGTCTACTTGGAAAATAATGATAGGAACCAAAGTTTGAAAAATGCAGAAGATGCTTATATATATTAAAAAAAAAAAAAAGTGATTATTTCACTTTTGATTGACAAATGCAAAATGATTCACGCTGTTTACTCTTTTCATCCTGACACAGAGAAACCAGGATATTTGGGAGAACTAAGATGACTGGCTGTCCGGCATGAGGCCAAGTACGTTTGCCATCACCCGGCTGTTTTTCCCTGCTTCATAACATGTCTGAGTTTTCTATCAACCACCAATCTATCCAAATCAATAAGAATGTGGCCACTTTGCAGTTTATCCAATGTAAAATAGGTAGAGTCCAGAGAAAGCTGCCGTGGCCTCTAAGTCAGGTCTTGACCACTCCTACATTCGTCAAATATATGGATATTCATCCGTAAGTTACAGTTCATACACAGGCCAGTATTAAGTCAATCATGAAGCCTGATTTCCAATTAAAAAATCCCCCAACCTCAAAAAACAAAACAAAACAAAACAAAAAAAACCTGAAAGCAAGCATCGCCGGTGTACCTTGATGCCTTTGGTATCCTCTTCATCAAATGAGCCGATGTCAAAGGCGTCGGCCGCATTGACTTCCCCCCGGGGAGGGATCAAGGGTGGAGGGTACTGGAAGAGCCAGAGAAGAAAGGTTCAGCTACTAGGTGACTCAGGGCCCGGTCCCAACCTGCTATTCTATAAAGAGATCTCAGTGTGACACATCAAGGTGTCACAGTCCGTGCAGGGCTCATTCGAGCTCACACGAATCACAGGGCACAGTTCACAATGCCCCCAAAGGAGATGCAGCCCCACGATCCAGTTTGCTAGAAGCTTAACGCCGGCAATGGGGCAGAGTGGGGTGCCCCACACCCACAAACGTCCCGAGGCCAATGCTGACTGAACCAGAGCCCGAACTCTATTCCTAATTAGGCAGGACTAACAGAGCGTCATCCCTCAACGGTCTGAGTTGGTGCAAAGATGAGTCCACAGATGATCATCAACACTGAGAAAAAACAACAACAACTTGAATTTGGGGTGTTTTCCTGAATCAATGAGAATATTAAAAAGTAGCTTAAAGTAAGCCAAGGGGATTATGCTACTATACAATCATGCTAATTCTTAAATTATGTGGTGCTGGGCTCAAAGGTATCTAAGTGTATGACAAACGTTTCTCGTACATTTTTACATATAAACAAAGAGGGAGAAATTGTTCCAAAGGGAATGAGCCATAAGGCAGCACATGGACAGGAGAGCAAGAAGCAGGGCTGTGGATGGAGAGCTGGGGCGGACCCCGGAGACAGAGCCAGGACATAGAGATGCATACAGAGATGCAGGTGGAGAGCACAGTGTGGGTGGTACCCGGGGTGGGGTCCCAGCAGGAGTACCTTCTGCAGGTAGACTTGCTGCCAGTCGATGCCTCTGAAGAAGCTGTGTGCTTTTAGTTCCTGTGCACTGCGGGAGACAGGGAGCCACAGCAGTCGTAAGTAAATATGCATTCGGAAGTCTAAGAAACGGTTTGCAAAAATTCTCTCCTATTACAGAACACACAGGGACAACTATTTCCAGCTCTTTAAGACAGCAAGTAAAATATGCTTCTTTCGAAGCAATCCAAGAAACACTGTGATGTTTAGAAATACTGCACACTGAGCCTGGGAATATGAATATGATCCATGTGATACTTTACTGGGTATGCTTATCCCAGCCTGAGATGACCTAGGGGTTTTCACAGATTATATCTATATCTGATTCTGTAATCATGAGAACAAATTTAACTAAGAACTAAATTAGAGATCTACACATTAAAGAGGTTTACAGCAAATGTCTACAAGTCCTCGTAGATCAGACGGCGGGGATATGAAGGGCCAAATTTTAATTTTGAAGCAAACTAGACATCTAGCAGAATAGTGCATGCCAAGCCCCTTCCTAAACTGAAGAAACAGTTTTTCCCAAAGATCCTTTTGCTAAAGTTCAGTTCACGGACTCTGAGGAAAACACGTGGGCCAATATACATATAGTTCCCATGCGATTCCCTCCGACCCCCCTCTAACTGAAATGGAAGATTCTCAATGTACTGAAAGGAACTGTTCTGCCTTCCAGGTGAAGACGCTGAAAGGCGGAAGCAACGGCCTACCCGCGTCCGTGGCAGCCGAGTCGCTTACTAACGTCTCGCTGGAGCAAGCCTTCCAGAAGGGACTTCAGCTCAGGGGAGAAGATGTCTGGAAGTTCCACATTCTGGGGGTGGGGGGCGGGGGGAGAATACGATCTCAAAAATGCATCCAGGGAAACAGTGCCCTCACCCCCGACCAGATTTAAAGGCCATTTCTTGCATAAGGATAGTGTTAAAAAAAAAAAAAAATTGCAGATTCACTGCCAACTAACATTGACTCTAAAGAAACACAGAACAGTTACCCATCTTCAGAGTCAATCGACAGGCTGGAGCCAGAAGAATCAGGTCTCCTCGCTCTTCTGCATCCCAGTCATTGTTCCTTTTGTTTGATTTCCTTAGTTTTGTTCTTGATTTTCTACATCTTTCTCTTACTGCTTGTTAGCAAACCCTGATATTTGCCTTGGCATCTGTTTCCAGTGTTTTAAGAAAGCTTTTTTTTTTTTTTATACTGGTTGTGATGGAATGAAACATGAAAATTATAATGCAAAAAAAAAAAATAGTTTTTGACCTCCTTACCATGGTGAGTGTCATTCGGTCTATCTCATGCTTATCTTTGGTTTTATGTTGTCTGAAAGGGCTGTGACTGTAGAAATAAAGAAAATTCCATCCATCACTAGATGGTTTCAGGTAACAGCAAACATTGTTGACTAATATTTGGGCAAGGTATTACGTTCTGTCACTGCTCATTTGAAACTGCAGAAATACAAAAGCCATAAACATATAAGCATTTCCAGAGAAAAACTGATGATCAGATTGACAATCAGATATATTAGGTCCTGAAGGAGCAAAGGCTTATGTTTACTTCAACTCCTGAGCTTCAGGTCAATGAAGTCATGGTACCAAAATATACTTTAGCAAATATATTCCAAGTGATAATGTAAAATATCACTTGGAAAAAAAATGAGCAAACAGGTATTTATGATAATGAAAGTCACACGCATGGCATTGGTCAAATTAGTGTTTGAGATAATGGTAACTTTCATACTTTTTTTTTTTTTTTAAGAAAAATGGGTATTAGTTCCTTGAACAATACAAAGAACTGCAGTCAAATCAAAACACATCCAAGATGAACGCACTTCCCCCCCTAGAACCCAGTAATTTTAAGCACTACATTCCTTTGAGGATAAGAGATATAAACTAACCCTGTGCTCCCAGACCCTCCAGAGTTCTAAGAACTGCTCCCTCATGCCCTACTTACAAACAGCCCCAGACTTAAGAGTCAGAAACCCTGGGTTCACGCTGTGACTTGGCTGTTTGCCGGCTGTAAGCCAGTCATGGAAACCTCCATTCTCAGTCTCTTCATCTGTAAACGGCATGATGCAATATCCGTCACCAAAACGGTGACGGGAACGAATAAAATAATGTACATGCTAGTAGCCGAGACAACGGCAGTATACGGTGGGTATCTGATACACATCTGTGAAATTAATAAGGATGAGTCTAACTTTACAAAATGAATGTCTGCTTGATCAACTGTATAAAGAAATTATTCTTACTCTTGATTACATTTTTAAAATGCTGAATAAGCTGGCTTTTAAAGTTAACCTTAGATATCACTTATATATGGAATCTAAAATATGACACAAATGAACTTATCTACGAAACAAAAACAGACTTACAGACATAGAGAACAGATTAGTGGTTGTCAATGGCGGGGGTGGGGGTGGGGGGGAGGAATGGATTGGGAGTTTGGGATTCGCAGATGCAAACTATTATATACAGGATGGATAAACAACAATTTCCTACTGTATAGCACAGGGAATTATAGTCAATATCCTATGATAAACCATAATGGAAAAGAATATGAAAAAGAATGTGTGTGCGTGTGTGTATATATGTATATACGTATATACACATACATATATATATATAACTGAATCACGTGGCTGTACACCAAAAACTAACACAACATTGTAAATCAACTATATTTCAATAAAATAAAGTTAAAAAACAAAGATACTCTTAGCATTAAAAGAGACTAGTAAACATGCAAACTAGAAAACCCTGGCCTTATTTATTCACTTGAAAATTAAAGAAGGGATATGACTGAGATTTCTGATGGTAAGACATGCCTGTAAAATGATCAACCCTGTAGATTTATTTGTAAGGCATATATAACATAATCTGAGGCAAGATATTATATAAAATAGTTAACTCTATAAAATGGATAAGGATGTTGAGTACATAAATCAATGTGATTTAGGAAAAAGAACTAAAACGTCCACCCACTCTTGCTACTGAATAAGTTAAATTATGATGATAATTCCACTTCAGAGTATTTATTTAAATATTTCAATTTTCACTTTGTACAAGAGAGGGCGCTCTAACGCTTGTTTTCTTTCATATGCAGTGAAAAACACAGTAATTTCCATCTCTTGAAAGCATTAATTTGGAAAAAAAAAAATCTAAACAAGGTAAATTAGTACCAAGCAAACATACGCCAATCTTTAAAACAGATTTTGATTGGAAATATTCTTTGCATCCTAATTGTTTCCAAGGAGAAAAATGTAAAATTACTGCATTTAAAAAGCAAATGGGATAGAATAACAAACTATATCTGTTGTTTATGAGATACTATAATTTTTAAAAACTTGACTTGTATCATTCTGTATGCAAAATACACAGAGATATTAACATGTTCATGGTTCAAGAGAAAAGGAATATAGGTTGATTAAATCTTACTACAACTTCAGTCTCTCTTCATGACACAACTGCTCCTACCCCACAGAGTTCCTTAACGTATAAAAGGGGATTGTGTGAAGGTCTCCTGTGTTTCGGCAAATCCACCTGCTTTGGCTCCTGCGTGCAAAGCCGGAGGACCCCCTCCTGCTCTCAACCCTCATGTGCTTGCCTGCATCTGATGCTGGAAGCGGAGGGCTGTGCCCAGACACTTGGAGAGAAGGACGACTGTGTTCTGACAGAGATGCTCCGAGCTAAATTTAAAAAATCTTTCATGTGACCAGAAGGAGGGCTTTGCGAGGGGAGGGGAGTTAAAGTTAGCGGTGCCAAAAACATTCCCGGCACACGGGCCCGATCGCTACAAATCCCATTTGATAAATATAGCTCTGCCACGTCTGACTCAGTAAGAAACAATCGGAAATGCTTGTCGGATCTTCGGTTCTGGACTGTTGTGCTGAGAAAGTCTGGTCTTTCAAGCCCTGAGGCGCATCTGTTTCCAATGTCTTCTTGATTATTCTTTGTGAACAAAACCCAAGATTCTGTTTCTATTTTGGAAAATGTTAAAGAAAACCTCCTATAGTAATGATCTCCATTCTGAGGGAGGCACGTGGTGCTCGCAGATCCTGTGTGATCACAGCTGCTCCCCGACGCAGCCACTTTAAATAGGAGACAGTAACGGGCCTGTCAACAGCTTATGACGTGGGCCAAGCTCTTCCAACAGCACATGCAACACTCTGGCTGCGTCGGGGGACGTTATAGGAATAAAATTCACATGTACAGTGGTCAGATGTGGCTTTTGAATAACAGAGAGAGTGGGAGAGCCGAAAATTTCCCCCCAAACAAGTTGGGAAATCGTTCAAGGCATGCTAAATGATGGGGAAACACACACACACACACACACACACACACACACGTACGATACATCATTCACAGTGAAAAGATGAGCTCAAAAACAATCCATTTATAAATACAAGTGACTACAAATCTTTACGTCAAAAATTAATTTTAGGGCCTCCCTGGTGGCGCAGTGGTTGAGAGTCAACCTGCCGATGCAGGGGACACGGGTTCGTGCCCCAGTCCGGGAAGATCCCACATGCCGCGGAGCGGCTGGGCCCGTGAGCCATGGCCGCTGAGCCTGCGCGTCCGGAGCCTGTGCTCCGCACGGGAGAGGCCACAACAGTGAGAGGCCCGCGTTATTGCAAAAAAAGAAGAAAAAAAAAAAATTAATTTTAGAATACCAAAAAGATTGCATGTCACATCAAATGTGAGTTTTGAACCTAAGCCAATAGCTACCAAAGTATTTATAAACGTTCCTTTTTTTCCCTATGGGAACCAACTCGGCAACCTCAGGCAGAGCTCAGTTCTCCCCAGACCACCACCTGTAGGCTCTCTCCTCGTGTCTGACAATCAGTGGTGACAAGTTTAAGATAAGGCTACTGTCACGTCAATTCTTTCCCTTCGCAGAGAGCTGAACTCTAGATTGAGGATCATGACGGTGATCCCGCACGTCTGCAACATGGACACCTCTTTAGACACAGATGCTCTTCAGGGTCTGACAGTCAGCTGAAGTGGAAGCAGTGACCCCCACCCAACATACAGCCCTGAGCGGATGGGTCCATCACTGAGTCCAGGGATGCAAACACGTTCTCGGGCCTCGATAGCTTCCTTACATCCAGGTTCCTGTCCCTTGGACCCTGTGGGATCCTTCTAGGGTGTCACAACAGAACTAGGGGTTCAGACAAGTGTTTCAGCGGAAGCAATGGGGCACACTGGTGTGAGAAGTATCTGATCAGAGAAAACAGAAGTGAAAAAAAGACCCTTGGTGACCACTGGTCACCCTCAGTGTGCAGATGTGGGGAGGAGGGGAAGAGACTTGCTCTGGAGCAGAGTTTCTCATCCTCAGCTGTGTGATCCTTTGTTGGAGCAGTGGGGGCCGCCCTGTGCACTGTATGATGCTTAGCAGCTACCCTGGCCTCGACCCGCTGGATGCCAAGTTGTAACAACGAAAAATGTCCCCGGGCATTGCCAAGCACTCCTGGGGTTGAGGACGCGCGCTGGGGAGTGGCTGGCATGGAGTCTGGTTCATCCCGTGAGGACTGATGCCACGGCCGCCCCGTGAGAGCACCAGGATACTGGGGGACAGCCTGCCTGTGAAGCCCGCCCCCGGGAGGCGGCGTTGGCCGCGCCCTCCTCCCAGCCCCTCCTGAGTTACCTGTTTCAGTTCCTTAGGCCCCTTGTGTCTGAGAAAAGACAGCTACTCGGGCTCCCTCTGCACAGTGCGTAAGAACTGAATAGGATGCTTCTGTACGCCTGGATGGAACCTTCTTATCCCTCGTTTAAGCTGAGGGCACGAAGGCTCCATCACCTCCAGATCTCACCACGATGCTTTGCTCCTGAAGGGCCCTCAATAAACATCAGCTTAATATGAACCACTGACACTTTATACCCATTGACGTTGGTAGTGATATGACCATCCTCCCAATCACCTTGAATCTAAACTCCTATCTGTCCATAGCCAAGCATCCACTGAAAAAACAAAAACCACTACGGACTGTAAGAACAATACTGTTACGTCATTTGTGGCCTTTCTGATCCCAGTACCACAGCGCTACTCAAGCCTTTGCCTGGGTTCTTAGACATGCATCCCACCAGCATCCTTGTACAGAAGAGCAGCCCAACCTTTGCTTAAAAGATGCTTCCTTTCTCTGTCCCTCCTTTGCTTAAAAGCCCTCAGTCTCTGGGGCCCTAAGAACAAAGCCCCACCTGCACAGCACGGAATTCTAGGTGGCCCCCAGCCCTGCCCCCATTTCCTCCATCTTCTCTCTCAGCACACCTTCCCCACGACCAACAGCTGACCACCCCCCCGCTCACAGGTCATTGATGGGGAAAGACCACCTGCACCTGCTCCGTACTGTCCCCTCCCCATCGTCTACTTCCGCTCCAGGTCCTCATCCTGCCATCCTGTCTGTGAGAGAACACTTCCCACACCCACTCCTACGCGAAGTTGTCAAGTCGGCCCTATGCTTCCAGGTTAGACCTGGTGATCCCATTTCTGCTCTCCCAGCACAGCCCATCCAGCTCACGATTTTGTATGTGTGTGTACCTACCTACCCTCCTCCGAGTTCCTCCAGGACTGTGTGTGGCTCCCTCCCTCCCCCTCCCTCCCTCCCTCCCCCTCCCTCCCTCCATGCATCCATCCCTCCCTCCCTCTCTCCCTCAGTCCATCCATCCATCCATCCAACCATCCATCCATCCATCCATCCAACCATCCATCCATCCATCCATCATCCATCCATCATCCATCCA